GCAGGTAATATCTTCTTTTTCTTATCTTCCTCTTCATATCTCTGATGCGCCAACCCCTGTAGCACGACCATCCCTCTGTCAATCTCTTCTCTTCATTCCATTTTTAGTCAATTTGTATAGCAATAATTTTTTGAATTTTTGTGGAGTACATAGGGTATTTGGTGATTATGGACTTACAAACATGTATTGTTACACATGTTGAGAATGATCAACCACATGATTTTGGTGGTGAAGAAGAAGACCCGGTTTTATATGACTTGCAGCCCAGTTGTAAGTGTTGATATTTAGACCCCATTCTATATTCATTTGAAGTAGTGAAAAAATACTGTTTTGTTTTGGTGTTACAGAGATTAAAGTTCTGTGAACCTAGGGTTTGTCCTTGTCACAGATGCTAAAGATCTGTATGCACTCTGCATTTGGTGTATTTTTGTTTTCTTCATAGTCAGGCATTGTATTATATTAAAGGTGCTGTTTTTTTGCAGCTTTTGAACCAGATTTGTTTCTTAACGATCCTTGCTTTCAATATTTATTTAACGACGAAGGGCAAGAACAGGCGAGTGGTGAGATCGGACAGAACAGAGATGAAATTAAGAATGATGTCCGAAACAATGGTCAGTGTCTTGCTAAAGGAAACAAAGGTAGCGTGCCTGAAGTGGGGATGAAGTTTACAAGCATTGAAGAAATCCGAGAACACTATCTGGCTTATGCTCGAAGTGTAGGATTTCCAATGCGGACTAGGACAACTCGCAAAGCCAAAGATGGAACTCCTAAAAGTGTTACATTTGTGTGTAGTCAACAAGGAAATAACAAGATCAAAACACAAGATGTGTTCCCCCGAGGCCAACAATGCAATTGGGATGTGAAGCTAGAGTAACTGCGTCATGTAACAAATATGATAACTTTCTCTGAGTTCCATGCACATAAACTGATGTAAACTTGATGTAACTCTGTCTTCACATACATTAAGTCTCTGTGAAGTGTGTGACATAGACAGTAACTCCATGTGAGCACCATGAAATCTAATGTATGCGTTTTAACTTTCTTTTTACCTTTACAAGATCCCCACATATGTGATAAAATTCTGAAGATGGTGTATGTGCATAAAGTTATGTAACTCTGTCGTCACATACATTAAATCTCTGTGTAATGGGTAAAATAGACAGTTATTCTCTGTGAGGGCTCTGAAAGTGTAACACCCCAACCCGCATGACCCAAACCCGTGAGACAGCGGACCGGTGTGCCACTGAATTGGTATCCGAATTTGTGACATTTCCAAAACAATTTAAAACAAACGTTCTATCAATACATATAAAAATCCATCGGAGTAATTTAAAATAATGCGGAAGCCTTTTTAAAGTCAAACAACTTGGGATCTTGCCCGAAAACGTAATAAGCATTAAAGTTAATTAAATAAAGCATATCAACAGATTAAAGAGACAGCCACGCCATCGTACATCTCCTCCTCATTGCCCTCTGGGATCGGCTCTAGGTTCATCTGTGTGATCACCTACGGACAGCAAAAGAAAACAACGCTATCCGCTCAGCATTGACGCTGAGTGGTACTCCATTGTAGCACAAGAATAAACATAATAATTCAACAATTAAGATCGTGCATATGTTTATCCTTTTAATAAAAATCAATTCAACTTTACGTTCGGTTCTTTAGACGGTTGACCAACAGTCAACTTATTTTCTTTCTTTTCAAAACGATTTAGGTGTTACGGGTTTCTCATTAACTCTTTGACCACCGGTCAAACCAATTTAGACTTTCACCAAAGTCAAACCACTTAACATTTAATGCCTATGACGGAGATAGCCTCAATCCGTAATACCGAAGATGGCCT